AGACTTCCTGTAATGATGGTGCCTGTATTCCTGTGCTCCTACAGACAACACAGAACAGGTTAAAATGCTAAATTATACTATAGGAAAAAATCAGTGTGAGCTAGTGTCATGCCTAAAAGGGTGACAAATATTTCCTGGAGTCCAATGCAGTAAGTGCCACTGGTAATATTGCATTTTATTATAAAAAAAAAAAAATTATATAAAAGGTAACAGCTAAAAAAGCATTATTATTATTATTATTATTATTATTATTATTATTATTGTTATTATTATTATTATTATTACTATTGTTATTATTATTATTATTATTATTGTTGTTGTTATTATTACTATTGTTATTGTTATTATTACTATTGTTATTGTTATTATTACTATTGTTATTATTATTATTATTGTTATTATTATTGTTATTATTATTATTAATATTGTTATTATTATTATTGTTATTATTACTATTACTATTATTATTATTATTATTGTTATTATTATTGTTATTATTATTATTACTATTACTATTACTATTATTATTGTTATTATTATTATTGTTGTAACTATTAATGGGCACTTTGCCCTTTTTTATTTTAAATATATTTTAGTTTTGTATGAGTAGCCCATTTTACACTGTGTTGCTATTTAAAGGATCTAAAATGACCGTACATATAAACACACAACACTGCTCTGTTTTTTGTGTGTGAGGGAATAAAAACCGCACAAGTCGCTGTAAGGTTTCTGCGCCGCTGACTGGAGAGGCGGGTGCGGCTCGGGAAGCACCCAATCAAGGTGCCATTGGAGGGAACTCACTGAATCAAACCGAAAGTCTTTCACATAAGTTTTCTATATTGATGAATATTATTATTACGTCTGTTTACCGAAACCCAGCGCGTCCTCAGCGCTGCTGACTGACCCGGGCAAACAGTCAGCTGTAAGTGGCGCTGCGAAGCTGGTCGTGGTTGTGAACTTGCAGCGAGGAGGGGATCGCGTTGCTCAACATTTTCGTGGTTATTCTTGAAGATTGAAATTCCTGTCACTTAAGTATCCGAATGCTTGAGCGGTCAGAGTCTCGGGGGAAAATGGAGAGCTTTAACAGAGTGGCTTTTCGCAGGAAACCGAGAAGTCTGGACGCCACGCAGCGACGAGAAGCAGGTGAGGGTTTGGTTTTTTCAATTGTAGGGAACATTTTGATGATTAGATGTAGGCTACAACCCCAAAGCCACTCTGACAGATTCATTTCTCAACTGTTATTTTGTGCGACTTATCTGGATCATTTTTATCCAACTTCTTAAATATTTAATATGTCTTCATAGGAACCACTAGAAACATTGAATATGCTTTCATGTGCACGTACGAATGACTCAGTGTTATGACTTTTTTAGCTGTCACATAGCCGTGATGTGTTTTCCTTAGTCCGGTTGGGTAAGCGTGGAATGGCCAGGCCGTGACACTCGGCACACCTCCGTTACAGCCCACTGCTGAAGTGCTGGCTGATCAGCAGGTATGAAGGGTTTCAAGGCAAGACCCAACCTGTTGTGTAACCATCTGCAGGCTGGAGGGCATGTTTTTTTTTCTTTTTTTCTTCCAAATAACCAGAGTGAACAAAAATGAGTAGGCAGTCACATGACACTGCCTGTACACCTCTCAGGTGTTCCTCAAAAGGTTTCTGTGCACTTCGTATCTCAGCTCAACATTTCAAATGCATTAAA